AGACCAACCAAAACAAAACATAAACTTAAAATATTTACAAACCATCAGTGTTGCAATGTGTGCTAGAAGTATCCGAGTGTGAAACTTGTGACGTAACTTCATGTACCGATTCTGATGTAAATGGGTGCAGTGTAGATGATCGAACTGATTTAATGGATGCATGGGGTCCAGGTGTTGATTGAGTGGATGAGCGAACTGATTTAGTGGATGCATGGGGTGTAGGTGCATGGGGTCTAGGTACATACCCTGCTCGTCCTCTGCCTCTTGTGGACATACCTGTTGAGAAGTTGAGGGTATATACATCATATATTGCTACACTGCATATATACTTATGCATATATATTAATAAACAGTATATATCATTAGATTTAGTACAAGTAACCAGAAATTAAGCAGAATCATGCAGTGCATAAAGCTTGTCATCATCAGAATGCCAAGATATAACATGCAGAGTTTTTTACATAGGATTACATATATTTTACCAACAAAAATAAAATAAAATTAATTAATAGTAGTACAACTAAGCACATGGTACGAACCTGCGCTCCTTTTCCGCAAGAGTATGGTCTAAGATGACACTATAAGCCAAGTCAGTTGTTGCCAGTGCTGCAAGATAGTCCTGCCATTAAGAAAGAAAAATAATTACATTTGATAACATTCCAACAGATCTGGTCCAAGTTTCACTGCCAATCAGAAGTGTCATCAAATGGACAAATCATATAGTGGATTATGCACAATGCAAGTTACCAGATGCACATCAAGTAGATTTGTATAGATTTGTATTTTTGAAAAAAATAAATAAGATTCATATTGGCAATTCAAGAACTCTTCAACACATAGAAAAAGAACAACATTAATTTCACTCAACCTATATAACTGAAAGTATAAAGAAGGGGCATTTCCAACGAAATCAAACAATATATACAGAATTTCAAAAGCCTTAGAAAATTAAATAGCAGCAAATTTCATTGACTATCATCACTATCATAATCAATCATATCATCATTAACTTCATCATCTTCAAGATTCTCCTCATGGAATTCGCCATCAATATCAACACATATCATTTCCATGTCTTCTTTGCATAATTCTATGGGTTGATCATCCATGTGCACTGCATTTCCAAGACCAAATGATTCAAATTCTTGGTATGGTTCATCATTGTCCTTTTCTTCCTCTTCCTCTTTCTCTTCCTCTTCATCCCTTTTCACTAGAATGTCATATATTGCCCGAGGTATTATTCTTTGTACAACTCGATAATTGTTGCCAAATTTCATGTCTTTCATATAAAACACTTGTATAGCTTGGCATGCTAGCACAAACGGTTCATCCTTGTACCAAGTTCTTGTAACATTCACACTAACATATTTATAATCATCAAATTTCATTCCATTTTTTTCATTGCCAACATCCCACCAATCACACTTAAAGAGGAACACCCGATTTCTCCCTAGATATTTCAACTCGACTATATCTCTAACAACTCCATAAAAATCAATAGCTTCTCCTTTATGGTCACCCTTAACAACCACACCACTATTTTGAGTTTTTCGGTTCATGTCACGATCTTGAGTGTGAAATCTGGTCCCATTGATAATGCAACCACTGTATCGTGTCACTCGACTATCAGGACCTCGGGCTAGGTTCATAAGTTGATTGGAAGCGTCCATGGTCCCTTCAAGTTGTTGCTTTGTGACCTAATTCCATTTATGATGTGAAATGTATTAGCATATACTTAGCTACATTATTTAAATGCACAAATAAGGTTAAAAATTTATAGCTCTTACGTATTTTAGAAACCATGTATGAAACTCTGATTCCAGCCTCTCTTGAACATTTCTCAAACCATGTCTCTCAAGTTCATCCATGTATTGCCTATAAATTATTACACAACATTATTTGACACAAATAGTTGTGAAAGTAGTAGAATTCACAATGAAATTTTTTGCAGTGAATATAATCATATGGTGGTTTCTTACCTCACATACGGTTGAACTTCATCACAATTATTCAACACATACCATCGAGCTTTCTTCAAATCTTTTAAATTCAACACACCATTAACTGCAGCTCCTATTCCACGTACTTTTTGCTTAAATACAGAAATATTTCCATCTTGTGTAGCTTTAATAGGCCCATCATAATTCCGCTCTGGTCTATTAAATTTTGTCTCACCTTCGTTGAAGTACATAGAGCAAAATGTAAGAGCCTCATTATCAATGTAACCTTCAGCAATAGAGCCTTCTGGACGGGCTTTGTTACGCACATAGCCCTTAAGAATATGCATGTACCTCTCAAGTGCATACATCCACCGATATTGCACCGGTCCAGCAAGGATTGCTTCACGTGATAAGTGTACGCATAAATGGATCATAATATCGAAAAAAGATGGTGGAAATATCTTCTCAAGCTTGCACAAAATTAAAATAATATCTTTCTCAAGTTGTTCTAAGACATCAACTCACAATGTTTTTGCCGATAACTCCTTAAAGAACAAGCAAAGCTCAATTAAAGCCTTGCTCACATCCTTTTTCAAACATCCACGTAGGGCAACAGGAAGCAATCTTTGCAAGATAACATGGCAATCATGGCTTTTCAACCCTGTAATTCGACAATCACTAGTGCTCACACAATGTGATATGTTTGATGCATAGCCATCTGGCAACTTAATTGTACTCAAGAATTCACAAAAACTCCTTTTTTCAGTTGGAGAGAGCATGAAGCAAGGAGTGGGTAGGTAGGTTTTTCCATCTACTTGCCTTGGGTGTAATTCAGGCCTTATACCCATAGCCACTAGATCAAGACGAGCCTTGTATGAGTCCTTGGTTTTTCCATCAACGTTCATCAATGTTCCCATCACACTATCGCATACATTCTTTTCAATGTGCATAACATCGAGGATGTGGCGAACTTTGAGGGTTTTCCAATAAGGTAACTCAAAGAAGATGCTTCTCCTTGTCCAATTTAAATATTGAGGAGAACGTTTTCGCTTCTTCCCACGTTCATCTATCTTCCCAAATACTGTCGAGTCAAGATGCTCCAATTGTCCCAAAACCTCCTCCCCAGGCAACAACTTGGGTTCCGATCTATGCTCTGGCTCACCATTGAATGCCTTGCTTTTTCGTAAAACATAATTATGCGGCAAAAAACGACGATGTCCCGTGTAACAAGTTTTCTTCCAATGATGCAAGTATTGGTGAGATGCATCCTCATTACATGAAGGGCAAGCCAATTTCCCTTTGGTGCTCCAACCGGATAAGTTACCATATGCAGGGAAATCGTTGATGGTCCATAACAATGCGGCACGTAATTGAAAACTTTGGCCATTTGATGCGTCGTATGTTTCTACCCCTACCTCCCATAACTCCTTTAACTCATATATCAATGGCCGTAAAAACACATCAATGTCAAACCCGGGAGCCCTACGCCCAGGAATAAGCAAAGGCATCATAAAAAATGGATCCTTCATACATTTCCATGGTGGTAAATTGTATGGGACAAGAAAAACCGGCCATATGCTATATGAGTTACTCATGTTTCCAAACGGGTTAAAACCATTGCTAGCTAGTCCGAGCCTAACGTTACGCGGATCTTTGGCGAAAGACTCATGCTTTTTGTCAAAGTCTTTCCATGCTTCAGAATCAGCCGGATGACGCAAGACATTTTACTCCTCTACACGTTTATCCTTGTGCCACTTCATATCAATAGCCGTCTTCCTGGATATGAATAGCCTTTGTAGCCGTGGTTTTAAAGGAAAGTATCGCAGAACCTTGTGAGGGATCTTTTTAACTTTACCTTTACCTTTACGAACCTTGTATCTTGGCGCTTTACAAGTAGGACACTCATCTTCATTTTCATACTCCTTCCAAAAAAGTACGCAATCGTTCTTGCATACATGCATTTTTTGATAGTCGAGGCCCAAATCTCGAATTATTTGTTTAGTCTCATTGTAAGAGCATGGAAGCGTTTCACCAATGGGAAGTGCCTCCTTCAACAATTCCAACAACATCGTGAGTGATTTGTTGCTCCATCTATTAAATATCTTTAGATGTAGCAATTTAACCATGAATGATAGTTTGGAGAATCGTTGGCAATCCAGATACAAATCTTGCTCCGCATCCCTCATTAATCTTGCAAATTTATTTGTTTCTCCACCACAACTACTTAGTAAGTCAGGATTACGACTACTAGATGCTTCTCCCACATAACCAAATGTGGTTGTTCCACTTCGTATGTCATGAATAACTTCTCGCACCTCGGTATTGGGACTATTTGACTTCTCTGTCACATTGTCATGATATTCGTCATTTTCATTTTGTGAGTCATCATTATCATTCAACTCAAAACCTTCCCCATGATACACCCACCTAGTGTAACTCGTGACCACCCCATATGCACACAAATGAATTTCAACTTCCTCTATGGTTTTTTGAATATGGTTGTTGCATCTATAACATGGACACCAAATCTTATCTGTCTCTGGTTTCATATGATCACGAGCAAACAAGATAAATTCCCTCACCCCATCAATGTACTGAGGTGACCTTCTATTACGAAGTTGCATCCAACTCCTATCCATGGTGCAAAAGTACTAAAGAAGAAAGAGAAAAAAAAAAGAAAAAGAAAAAGAAGAAGGTAAAAGCTTAAAAAATATGAAACATAATGCTACAATTTTCGACTCTCATAACACAAGCGAATCAAAATAAATTTAACAATGCAATCAATCGAATTGGCATCTACATTTCCAAATAACACAAATATAATCAAATCAAACAAATCAGGATTAGATCAGACCATATCATCAAAGCAAAAGAAACATCAAATTAAGCATTAATATAGGGATTCTACGAATTCTTCATCACCACACAATCACCCCCTCAAAAAATTCTAAATGGATTCTTTTTTTTTTTTTTTTTTTTTTTTTTTTTTTTTTTTTTTTGAGGAATCATGAAAATTACTACTTAAAATGTTACTTTTCTCTTTCAGCACCATAACTATATGAGCTCACTAAAAAGCATTCTCTTGGAAACTCCCAGGTTTAAAAACAAACCTTGGAACAGTTTAGATTATGATCTTATTATATTCGTGGAACAACAAATTTCAGAGCATATTCATCATAGCAAATACTAGATTATGATCTTAAACACTAGTTATGATCTCATTCGCATTAACCAAAGCTGTGACTACCATAAAATTTCATAACGCAATAAAAAGAGCCAAATTAAAAGCCTTTGTGTGCATAAGGGGAATTAACACAAGTAGTTGAAATAAGCAATATAGTAATATTACTATATTACTATATTAACACAGGTAGTTGAAATAAGCCTTTGTCGAGTTTTTGCTTTATTTCAATTCCAACCCATCCAAAGTGATATTTTCATTCTAAAAAAAAAAAAAAAAGTTTATAGTTACTTTCTCAAGTCAAGTGTAACTGTATAAAACATCTGCATGCTATTAGTATCTTCAAATTTTAAGGAGGATAATGGACAATCTTAATATTTTAGAAACATCCTTACTCTCAAAAGAAACAATACCACTAAAAAAAATGATTAAAAAACCACTATAAAAGCCAACTCCCAAACAAGCTTTGTGTGGTTGCTTGTGTTAAGATGGTTGTCAGTCTCGTCTTGTTTGTTATTTAATGCTTAATAGCATACCTGCTTAAAATTCATATTAGTGAGTTCAAAACTGTTTCTTCTTTCTATTTTATTGTATGTTTGAGTTTTAATGACATCAATTTTCTATCCTATTAATGTTAAATTTTTGTTTGCTATTTTCTTTGAGTTCCCCTGTTATGTAGTAGGCTTCATACTTTAATTTTGCAACATACAAAAAATCCAAAAAGTCACCACAAAAAAATCACCTATTCTCTTTCCTTTTCTGTAGGTCTTTTTGTAAAATGCTAAAAAGCTAATTAAAATAATCAATTCCCAAAACAACAATTAGCAATGTTAGGGACATGCACACATGATGCAAATATCAGTTAGCATGCACAATGCAAAGTACAAGGTATACATAATGCGATGAACAATGTGGCATACTCAATGCAATATACATGGCATGTTCAATGGACTTAAACTAAAAGGGGTAGACCTCAGTCATGCCCAAATCAGTGGCCATTGGTGATGAAATGAAGGCACATAAAGCAAGGCATGCATGCACAATGCATTGGCCATCAAAGAGGCCAAAGAGTAGAAATCTCTAGAGTGCTCGATGAGTGACAAAAGTGGACGTGTAGCAACACTAAGTGCATTGAAATGAAGCAAGAAATGATGCCAAATCATTCAAACAACATAAGTAAAGCTAAGTTAAAACAAGGACCTAAACATGCTGAGATGAGGGCCCAAAGGCCTAGGCATGCAAGCATGCAAACTAAGGCCATAACAAGGCCATAATGCACAACCCTTAGAGGCATTCAAAGCATGAATGAAGTGGGAACATAAGCATGCTATAAGCTTTGACATGTCATGTTAAGTGATGCCAAATCATGTACACAACACAAATGAAGCATGCAATGGTGCTCAAAGCTTGAGGCAAGGAAGAGCGTTTGTACTACAAGTATACAAAACATTAAGCATGTGACTAAGGCAACCCAAAACAATCCTAGAACATGTTAGAATGATTCTAAAACATGCATGGAAGTAGGCCAAAACATGCTAGCATGAAGGGCATAAGGTATGATTCATACAAGGCAAATAAGGCGGATTACACTACACCTATTAAGACAAAGCATGGAATGACTTAAGCAATAAAAATCAGAGTTATATCATGGCAAAATAACCCAAAATAAACACTGAAGTGAGAACTCACAAGCTATGGCATCAAGGCATATGCAATGATTCATGTTAAGGTATAAAGGGGGAAACCCTCTAACGCATTGAATAAGTGATAAATGCAAGTGCATGGCCATGAAACATGGGCTGAAATCCCATAACAAGTGATGCCAAATCATTCAAATAAGCCAAGTAGAGCATACAAGTGGACTTGGTGTACAAAGCTAACAAGCTAGATTGAACTATAGCTATACAAAGCAAGTCATGCATGGCAAAGACAACCAAAATCAGACCTTAAACATGGTAAACCATGAACAAAATCTTCTTTAATTCAAGCCAAAAGCATGCTAAAAAGACATGTCAAAGCATGAAGCTTGTTAGGCTATTTCATTGGATTGCACTACAAGTGCAAGGAGCATGCGAAGGCTAACTAAACCAAACCAAAATAGAGTCATGACATGGCAAAACATCACCAAAAATATGTTGAAATGGAAAGAAAACAATCTAGAATGACATGCTACTTCATAAAGCATACAAAGCTAGCTTGTGTGATTTACACTACAAGTGTATTAACCATGCATGGAGTGACCAAAGCAAGTAAAAACTATGGTATGCCATAGCAAAATAACCACAAATACAAGCTAAGATATTGTCTTTATACACTTAGTAAAGATGCTCAAACATGAGGCATATTAAGGCATGTATCTAAGATGCAAGGAGAGGGGATGCCCATCCCCTTCTTAGGACCTTAAAACACCATCCCCACCACTAAAATCCCTCTGGAACTAAAATCCCTCTGGATTTCAGTGGTGAGAAGGCCAATACAAGGTGGTCCCAAAGAGCACAAAAAAAGCTCAAAAACAAGGCCAAACAAGGCTTAAGAGGGGGTACACAACCCCAAACACAAAAGTGATCTGAAGAAAACTCTTTAAGCATGCAAAAAGAGAACTTTTTTCAGTTATGAGCTAAGCTTAAAACAGCATGCAAGATAAGCTAAAAGCTTAAGCAAGAAAGGGGGATTTAAAGGTCAAAAGCTCACCCCTGAAGACCCTCTTTATAACTGCAACTCCAGTAGGTTTTTCATGCTCAAGGAAACCCAATAACACCAAAAGCAGCCCCTAAGCACCTCAGTAGCAAAAGGATGGTGTTTGAGTGTGTGTTTGTGTGTTAAAGTAAGACAAATCTACACTTTTGAACACAAAAATAAAAAACAAGAGTGCTATAGTGACAAAGCTATATGTAACTCTCTTCCCCCATATTTTCTGAACCTGGAGAAGGGAGGAGGAGCCTCCCTCTTATCGAAGAGGAAAGTCAAAGCTTCTTGGAGAAGCTAAGCTTGAATGTCATCCCTCCATACACGTGTATGGAGGATGGCTCGAATGCTCTCTAGTTGTGCCAGCTATCCCAAAATATCTCCAAAAAGGTGCCAAAAAATAGCCAAAGTGGTCAGCCTGCTAGTAAAAGTGGTCGGCCGACCACTTTAAGTGGTCAACCAGAGCAAAAACTGGTTGGCCATAGGTGGGAGAGGTCAACACACTAAATGCAAGGTGGTGGTGTGGTGGTCGACCAGAAAAGATGGTCCAAAAACTAAGAAAAGCAGTTATTTGACAAGAAAACTAGCTGGAAAAAGGAAAAGTGGCCGGCCAGGAGAAATACTGATCTCCCACCCTTGTACCACCTTTCAAACAAGGAAAGCAAGGTTTGTACCAAAAACAAACCAAAGCGGATGCAAGACGACAAATCGGGAGGCGAAACACGCGGCCAAAAGCCCCAAAAACTAGCTGACGAGCATCAAAAGTGGTATGCAACCACAAAAGTGGTCTCCCGAACCACAGTGCTCCTCTAGGCAGAGGCAACAAGGTGTGGTTCAAAAACCACGCCAAACGGAGAATGTTAAGCATTCTCGAGACAAGGCGCGCGGCCAAAGGCTCTGAAAAATCGGAAAGCAGTCTCCAAACGAGAAAAGTGGCCTACGACCACGAAAAGTAGTCTACGACCACAGAGCGATGGTCTACAAGACCACTCCCTCCCTCTAGGAAGGGAAAACAAGACTTGGTTCCCAAACCGAGTCAAAGCACGAAGAGTTCAGAGGCTTGGAGGCAAGGCTCTCAGCTAAAACTCCGAAATCTCAGAACGAGCACAATATGCACCACCATCGAGCGCTCAATTAATAACGTCTGAGTCTTATGGTCGGTCAAAAATGGGGTGTCAACACATCTGCATCACTGAGGTTGACAGCTCCAGAGCCTGTCCAGTGTACTCAATCGAAGCCTGCAAAAGTGTTGAAGTATTTAGTATTCTGTGGGATATCAAATGAAATGAATTGACTGTACAGAATGCAATGTATAGTACATACCGAGGTCAAGCCGCGAACTCCGACGAGCTCCTGATTAGGCGGAGGAGGAGCAATGGGTATCTGGTGTGTCTCTCCACCCTGTCCTCGGTATGTCATGGTGGTGCGCAGCTCTGGCCACTCCGCTCTGTGTCCTCCCTGAGAACCACTTCGGTCATGGGCCTGAGTCGCCCTCGGTGCTCCTGCTCCTCCTGCTGGAAGCCTCTCCCTCTCATATCGGTGAGTATTTGCCAAAGGCCGCATGAGGTAAGTTAGGACAAAGATGGTGTAGTCGCCCTCATCTCTGAAAAAGTCAGCGTCGCAGCCATTGGTGAAGTCAATCATCTCCTCCGGGGTGTACCTCTCTGTATGCCTCATATAGGTGGGAGGCGGCGTCAAAACTATCTGCTCTGGTAAGCCAAGGGTCTGCCACAGGAAGCGCTCTCCCAAGTACCAAGCCTGGCAGACCGGACC